CGGGGAAAGGGAATGAGGGGGAGAGGCAAGAGCCAGAGCATGTTCCAAAGGTGAACTTGTCATTTAATATTCCATAATATACTCCCACGCAAGGGTTAAATGCTTATTCCTTATTCGGGCAGGCTCCCTCCATGCTGTGACCTGTCTCCCATAGCCTCTTCTCTAAGACACCTTGAGCTGGCGCTGATGTTTTTAATTACAATGGAGGACCAACAAGGAAGGGGAGGGCCCATCCACAGCCCAAGGCCTAGGAGAGAACCAAAGCCTGCCAGAGCAAGGCATTCGATAAGTATTAAACCTTACTCATCTACTCCTAGACTTAAAGGATAAGTTCACCTTTGGAACACGTTACATGTTCCCATAGCAGCAGCTTCACCGGCCACCCCCTCTGCCTCTGACAGATAGTACGGGGACACTTCTCCCCGTACTGTCAGATTTGAAAACAACAGGGGCTTTACCCACGCCACTCATTCAAAGAGTTCTATAAATGAGTGCCTACAAGTCCCAGCAGCTGTTGGCTTGTAATTTTCAGTGAACAACCACAGTGCAGTGCCATGCAGATCTCCTGCAGACCTATCAGTATAGCTACTTATCATACAGGATGTACGGTCAAGCAGATATTCTGACAGGTCTGCAGAAGACCTGCATGGCATTAGCGATATACTGATCGATGGTGCAATGCTTTACAGGCTCCTTTGGACAAAATTAATAAATGCACATTTTTTTTTACCTAAAACAAAATGTGCATTTATTATTTTTGTCTAAAAGGTGAACTTAGCCTTTAAGGAGAATTTAAGCCGTGCAATACAAAAAGGGGCCTACAGCAAGGGCAGTTTTTTTTTTTATTCAGAGTTTAGCTTTAAATCTAGTATTGACTCCAATTTTAGCTAGTCAAGACATCTCTTGGTGTTCGCTTTCATGTAAGTTAGACTTATAGACACCAGCATTGTCCTGTAGGCATCTTACATAAAGAAAATGTTGTTTTGCAACCAAGGACCTCCTTTTTACCTAAAATGGTCTCAAAGCACCATAGGAAGATCCAACAGAGTAGCAGATTCCAATAAGCCACAGTCTCTCAAAACTTTGGTCTCAACGGCCCAGCAACTGAGAACCAGAATGGTAGACTGGGCCTTGACACACAAGATCTAAGCAATATGGAAGAGGCCAAGGGAAATCTACCAGACACCAGGGTACAATCTAAGCACAACGCTCTCCTGGGAAAGTTTTTTCCCACAAGAATCACTAATGCCTTAATTCAATTCTGCAGAGTAGGAAGATCCAATAGAGTAACAGATTCCAACAAGCCCATCTCTCAGGACTTTGGCATCAACAGCCCAGCAACCAAGAAGCAGGATGGTAGACTGGACCTTGACACAGAAGATCTAAGCAATATGGAAGAGGCCAAGGGAAATCTACCAGACACCAGGGTACAATCTAAGCACAATGCTCTCCTGGGCCAGTTCCTTCCTACAGTAATCCCTGTAATGCCCTCCGATTCAATCCTGCGGAGTAGTCATGGAAGGAGCTTTAGTGGAGGCATTTATTCTGGCAAATTGATCTCATATTCACCACAGCATATATTATGAAAACCTGAGGATGCCTGGACCTAGTGGCAAACCTGTTCAGTTTGTGGTTTAAACCAGGATGATAACAGGTCAACATCCAGTGTCCCCCACCTGCAAAGATCCTAAAATACCTCCAGATGATGGGACCGCTCTCCTTGATCCAGACAGCCAAGAAAGTCAACCTGCCAATTTGCTATGCCAGGAATGTACACTACAGTCAGGGCCAGATTGTGATATTTTGCCCAACTCAAAATCAAATCCACTTCTGTCTTGGCTGCTCAACTTCGGGTGCCTCCTTGCTGGTTGGCCTAGACCAGGGGTAGGCAACCTGCAGCTCTCTAGCTATTGTGGAACTACATTTCCCATGAGGCATTGCAACATTACAAAACTGAGTTACAGCTATGACTTGCAGAGGCATGATGGAACTTTTAGTCCTGCAACAGCTGGAGAGCCGCAGGTTGCCTACCCCTGGCCTAGACCATGGCTGTGGCATGGTTTTACTGAACCCCACGCCAGAAGCCCACCATAGGTGAGATGTCACGTTGAAGAGACAGTCAAATGGCTCAGACTTCCATAATGTTTATTATTTGGGATCCTCCTTTGACCAGGTTCCCTGACCTGGCCCCCAGCCCAACAGACAGGCATCCGTTATGATAATCTCCCAAATTAGTGGAGGAAACTACTTCCCCATGCAAATGTTGCACTGGAAATACAAGTTTAGTCAAGGAGACAGGCACATTGGATGGTCCAGAGTTTTGGGCCATGCAGAGGATGCAGTCCCCATTAGTCCCAGTACTCTCATGCAAACACTAAAACACCAAGCAATGACAGGTTTGGCTGATTCCATCTAAAGCTTCTGAACCCAAGGAATAAATTCATGTACTTCAGGTCCAAGGCGGTAAATTCCACCCTTCATTTTTGGGAACTGTAAACAGTTTGGTGTAGATACCCCACTTGTGGGAACAGAGACAATGAAGCACAAAGCGAGCAAATGCTTTAGAGCAGCATGCAGATCCTTCAACTTTTGAGAAGGTAGACCGGAAATCATAAAGCATGGTGCAATTGGAGCACAAAACTCCAGCCTGTACCCTCGGAGAAATGTTTCTGGACCCAGACATCTGGAATATCTCTGAACATCCCCCTCTTGAAGAATTTAAATCAGAGCCAGTTTTCTTAAATGTAAACACTTTGCATTTACAAGCCAAAAATAGTGCATGTACACGTTAAAAACTATGAGGTCTATTCCCCCCCCCCCCCCCCCCATACAAGATTTAAACAACTTAACCAATTGCATCAATAGTAAAATATGTGAAAGTGTGAAGCCTAGGTGAAGGTTGTGTGAAACATTTATAAAAAGGAGTCCAAATATGTCTCATGGTTTTATAGATTTTGCAGCTGCTGTGCAGGCATAGCACCAGGGCCTGGATTTTGCATGACCTCTTGGCTTCATCCCTGCTGGCTGTACAGCTCAGGGGGGTCAGTCTTCCCACACCTCCTGCTTCGTATGTCATTATGCTTTAACAAAATGTAACTATAAAGCAAAAACTCTTGAAAAAATTTTACGTAAAAGCTCTGGTTCTTTCCTGATAACATTTGTATTTTGTTTTAGGAAGAAGGCAAGAGTGAACTACATTTCATGAAGTATTTGGTCTTAACCACTTGAATACCAGGCACTTTTACCCTCTTCCTGCCCAGGCGAATATGCAGTTTCAGCAGTCTTGCACTTTGAATGAATTGCACGGTCATGCAACACTGTACCTATAAAAAAATTTTCATCTTTTTTTTTTCCCACGCAACTAAAGCTCCCTTGCACCACTGAGTTTTTTCATTTTTTGCTAAACTTTTAAGGAAAGCTTAAGCTTATGAAAGGGAAAAACAAAACAAAAAACAAATGCATTTTTCTTCATTTCAGTTATAAAGTTTTGCAAATAACCTTTTTCATTAATTTAGGTCAAAATGTATCCTGCTACATTTCTTTGGTGAAAATAACCCAAATTAGTGTATATTATTTAGTCTGTAGGAAAGTTATAGAGGCTAGAGATGGAGAGATACAGAGATCTGACAATCAATCCTGATGTACTGATGAACAATCTCATTTCTTGAGGCCCAAAACCACCAGGGTAGTACAAATACCACCCTCCCTTTGCAAACGAGCCATTTTTGGAAATTAGTCCAAGTTATTTTAGTAAGAGGCATTGTGAGGCTTTTTGACATTTTAATTTTTGTAACAAAATGAAGAATTTAAAAAGAAACAATTGTGATTTTGTTTCCCCCCCCTCTACATATTGTCACCAGTCCAGTGGTACGGCAGTGATCAGGGACACTGACTGGTGACCGTATGTAAAAAAAAAAAATTTCTCTTTTAAAATTACTTTTTTTTTCAATGCACTGTGACCAGAGCAATGTTACCATAGTAACATTGTACTACTCTGGGAAAGCGATCAGGATTTTTTTTTTTTTAAACACATTATGATTGCTTATACCAATGTATTTTGTTGATATTGGCAACCATTTTTACTGAATGAAACTGATTCAGTCTGTTGTGATGCCTCTACCATGTGACCAACCACAGCTAACACAATTGTATACAATGGATGGCATGAAAGGAAGCCATCCATTGTATACAATTGTCACAGCAGTCACATGACACTGGCAGCAGGCCATTGTAGTGATCTGTCATCGGCTGTGTTCTGTGGACACAGCTGGTGACAGATCATGCTGCAGCCGCGTGATGTCCACTCAGGAGGAGGAGCGTCCCGGTTGGTCGTCAACCTGCTATAGGCCGGGCGGGAAGGTGTTAAACCTATATCAGGCCCAGTATTCATGCTTGCTATATGACCAGTTCATAACATTCTTCACAAACATTGTTGCAAAATAGAGGATCTGCATTCTTTCCATGTCATTATTGTAGTGAAAACTGCTATCATTTCATAGAGTGAGTACCCATTTGTGAATAAATTAACCAGACCAGAACATACATACATATATATTTATGTTTTAAAAAAATAACAAAAACCATACAGAATAATAACTGCTGGAAAATGTAATTACACATGCTTCTCACACTTAAGTGGACTGGACCAGCTAATGATTTTTAGATGGCCATAAGCTTGGACACAATCACCAATGTAACAGCTACCCAAGTATTATTAACAGTTCCACTGAGACAAAGCCAGCCAATACCTTTCAAAGTATATCACCATCTTTTCTATAAACTTACCTTACATGCATGAGGACATTTCCCAACATCCTGCAGTTATACAATGCAGAAAATAAACTAAATCTTTAAAGAATCTTTATTTTTATAACGAGACATCCCTACCATACAAATATATAAGATAACCAGTTAAAAAAAAAAAAAAACTTTACAGATAAAAGAGATAGGTATGAAGCAGTGTGCAGTAGTCTGAGATGTGGGCTGCAAAGTGTCAGTGCTTAGAATTTCTTCAGGCTGTAGCCCACAGCAAGATGCGGCCTGTTACTGTTTAGTGGTGGCGAGTGCCATACAGCAGAACTAGTGCGCTTGTAGTAGCGGGGCTTTCTCTTATAAAACAAGTCCTCCAGTTTTGGGCTGTCAATTGTGCCAAATATTTTGTCGACATCTATGGGGCGGTAGTACTGTTGTTGCATTGTCTGGGCAAGCTCACTTCCTGCAGAGAAAAAAAACAACAGGTGGATAGAATTCATAGGCATTACTTAATACTGAAGGGGAATAAACAAACACTTAAAATAATTTTATAAAAAAGGTGCAACAAGGCTTAGTTTACAGAAAATTGCATTACTTGGGCCCTACCTGTACGACTTCTATAAAAAGTCTAGACATTTGTTCATGCAATCTCCGATAAGAGGATCAAGGGATGATCCTGCCTATAAACAAATCATATACCCAAATGCACATGCTTAAACAGCATGCTAATCAGCAACAGTAGCAATCTGATATAGCATTTTCTCAGAGGAGAACAAATACATGATGAACACACACGACAGACTGCCCCACTAGCCTATAGCAACGTGCATAAAGCAGGATGGGACAGGTAAACGTCAACACTTCTAGAAGTCCCAGAGTTTTGTCTAATTATAGTAGCTATGTAATTCTCAATTGGGAATATAGGATGCTGCTGCTACATGAAGACACCTCTAAGCTGATAGACACTCACCAGACGCCCAAGCTGGGATGGGCTTACGAGGCTTGCTCTCATCATCTGTGGAGTCATCACTGTTTAAGTCCATGCCATAATCATCTGGATTTAATTTGGGTGGGTGGGGTTTGTATCCTTTAGGAGTCATCTCATAGGATTCACAGGATGGAGAGTTCTGGAAACAAAGGGAACCATTACCCAGTCGTAGCAAATAGGCAGTAAGACACAAATAGGTTTCCTTTTGAGCTTCGTGTTAACATGCCCGTTTCAACTACACCCTTACCTGCATATCTACAGTGACGTTTAGCACTGGAGCATTGGCGGCTGATTTCTCCTTAGCGATTCTCTCCTGCTCCTCACGCAGCCTCTGAGCCTCTAGTTCTTGGAGCCTCTTTGCCTCCAGTTCTCTACGTAACCTCTCCTGTTCTAGCTTTTCCTGCTGCTCCTGAAATTGCACACATAGCAGATGTTCGATATCTAATGCATTCACATGCAAGTATGACTAACTGATGTCATTGATAAATTCTAGCATTGCACATCCTGTTGATAAATATTCTTAAAAAAAATTTTTTTTCCTTCTCCTTATTCACATCAGTGGAGCTCACATTTTAATATGTAGCAAGTCACGCACGCCAACTACTGGATTAGAAAAAAAAAAAAATTCCATAGTGTTCAATCCACTAGTAGTAGTCACACTGGATTGCTACGAACCTCTCACCAACAATGCCACACAAATGCAGCTCACTGTAATAGCACAGACATCTGACCAAACTATGCCACACATGCATTACTCTGAAGTATTCTGAAACAGATGAGTAGATTAGACAGTAGCACATAAACTCACTCTCTTCTTGCGTTCTTCAGCCTCTTTGCGCTGCTGCTCTTTCTGCTGTGCCGCCCTTTCTAGTTCTTTCTGCAGCTGAAGTGCTTTTTCACGCTCTATTCGTTCCCGTTCTCTGAAATATCAAGTTTGTTTTTTTAATCAAGAATAAAAAAAATGTAAAACGTGAAAACCATAACACATTGTGATTCACAGTGCATAATAGTCTATCCTTCACAGCAGGATGTCAATCTCCTTAAAGGCAAAAACCTCTCTTTAGCTTTGGATACTGTGAAGAGGGATTAAAACACCCGCCAAGACTTTTTATAGCTGTTTGCACCCAGTAGGTAGATTCCTCGTCTGTTTATAATTTGCTGAAAGTGAAAAGTAAAAGAAAATTCAAACTTTTGGAGGTGTCCGCAGAGCAGGAATAGGGAAAAAAAATCTTCCAATGCAGACACTAGTTCTGGTGACAACCAGGGATCACCTCATTTTCAACATATTTCCTCTCACTTCCTGTTTTGACTATGGGATAGAAAGTGAAAGGAAATCTTTCTATATCTGACAGCTGTTATACCCTCCCTTACGCTTCCCAAAATTAAGTTTTCCCTTTACTTCTACTTTGAACTTGTAATACAGGACTGAGGCACAAGCGTATGTAAAAAGTGTTTAATATTACACTTTACATGCTAGAATACTAGTGGGGTTAGACAATTTGTGGAAAATGATGTCTTCTTTCAAGAGAAAAAAAAAAAGTTTTTGTACCCATCAGCCACCTCCCAAAGTGGGCATCAGATGAGGCCTCAACATCCATCTAGTAGAACTTAGCCAACACTTGAACATGACAAGGTGGCAGTCTTCCATATTTGAGAAACAGTTGCCTAATGCCAAAAAGCTAAAGCACCATCAGGGCGTGATAGCCTATAAACCTGGATAATAGTCTGTCTGAGCCACCTAGAGATGGTGGAATTAGAAGCTGGTGCATCCTTAAAGGGACCACCTGGGAAGACACAAAGTCAGTCAGTCTTTCCGAAAGAAGCAGTGGTTGAGAGAAATGGATGCACACCAGTGAATCACATCCCTGATTGGTATATACCACTGCCATTGTGTTGCCTGTCATTCTGAATTGGGTGATCCTCCTTCAGGATGGACTAATGCTGTAGAGGGATCCAGACTGCCCCAAACTCCAGGATGTTGGGAAAAAAGACGATTTGTCCAATAACCAACTTCCCTGCTGACTGGCCTTGGTCATGTGGATCTTACAAAGGATGGGAAGAAAGGACTTCCCAATCCAAAGACTGGTTCCTGAGCAATCAGGTCAGGGACACCCTGGTCCTCAGTGCCAAAATGAGCCAGTCTGTCCAAGGATAGGATTGACTTGTCCCACAATGACAGAATACTGCTTTGTTGGGGCATGGAGTGAAACTTGCAAATGCGACTGGCTTGAAGGGAGCTATCAGACCCAGGACTCATGCAAAAGTGGAGATTCCGATGACTATAGCATGCTGGTCGTAGGAGGGGATATCCTGGGCTGGTCTACAGTTTTGTTTTTGTTTTTTTAAACAGTGTCAAATGTTCCTATAGGTGGCAGATCTAAAATAAAAAAAGGTAAAAGACTTCCTGTGTCCCTTGATTTGTCATATTTTAAGAATCAGGTTTTAGTGAAAAGTGGTCTGCTTCATCAAATCACTTGTAGCAGAAATAACACAAAAAAGGTGAACGACTTCCTCTGTTCCTATATGGACAAGAATGAAAGGTGGTAAAAAAAGGTGGCATTGAGATCTTCTTGGTGTAAAGCAGGTATCTTTAGTTTACCAACCTGTTTCTGTGCAGGTATTGAAAAATGAACATTTTAACATTTTCAGTGGTGCAAGTTGTTTTGTCTTGTTGTAGAGGATACTTCAGTTAGCAATTAGCTAGTTTTACATACGTATGCTTAGGATATTTTGCCTAAAGGTTTTGGATTAATCCAAATCTAAATCACATGGCACCAAGGTCTGCCATCATACGCTTTGGGATTTTAATTTGTACCAAATATAATTGTGTATATGGCAGGATTTAGACTTTGATTTGTCATACTTTAACCACTTCAAGTCCATACACTTTCACCCCCTTCCAATCCAGGACAATTTTCAGCTTTCAGCACTATCACACTGAGTGACAATTAGTCATGCAACAAACACTATACCTATGTGACATTTTTATTCTTTTTTTGAGATAGAGCTTTCTTTTGGTGGTATCTAATCAATACAAATTTTTTTTTTTTGATATATAAATGAAAAAATACCAAAAAGTTTTGGAAAAAAAAACAAAAACCACAACAAATTTTTTGCTTAGTTTTGGTAATAAAATTTAGCAAATAGTTAATCTCTCTTCATAAAGTTACGCCAAAGTTTATTCTGCTACATTTCTAGGGTAAAAAAATAACCCAAAACAGTTTATATTATTTAGTCTGTGTGAAAGCTATAGAGTCTACAATCTATGGGATATATATTTGAAACCAGTGATCAGGGTGCTGGTATGGTGTATGGAGGTGATCAGGGTGCTAGTATGGCATATGGCAGTGGTCAGGGTGTTGGTTTGGGGTATGGCAGGTCAGGGTGTTGGTTTGGGGTATGGCTGTGATCAGGACACTGGTATGGCGGTGATCTGGACATTGGTATGGTGTATGGGGGTGTTTTGGGTGTTTTGTGTGTACTAGGACAGGTGGGCACTCTGCCCCACAGTACTTATAATAAATAATGCAGTGTTTAACTACTCCCGCCCGGCCTATAGTAAAATGACGGCCGGGCGAGCCTCTCGTCCCTCCAGGAGGGCGTCATATGACATACTTCCCAGATCAGGCCTTGCGCGTGCCCACAGGGCCACGCTGTGGCAAGATCTGTCACTGGCTGTGTACCTTGAACACGGCCGACAACAGATCTGTGTACCAGCCCCGTTGCCAGTACCATGTGACCGGCTGTGACCAATCACAGCAGGTCACATGACAGTTGTAAGCAATGGATAGCTTCCTTTCATGCCATCCATTGTATACAAATGTGTCTAGCTGTGAATGGTCACAGTGATCACATGCACAGGATGGGCCAATCACAGCCCATCTGTGTCATGTGATTAGCTGTGGCCAATCATAGCTAATCACAACAAAAAAACAAGAATGAATCGATTTCATTCAGTTAAATGCTTCCTTATAGCAAGGAAATTCTTTGCTATAAGCAAATTGTGTAAAAAAAAAAAAAAAAAAATAAAATACTAATTGCTTCCCCAAAGTAGTACAATGTTACTATGGTAACATACAACTTTGGTCATAGTGTAATATGAGAGAAAAAATAAAATTAAAAAAACAAAATCATTTTTTTTCATATTGTCACCAGTCAAGTGTCCCTGATCACTGCCACACCAGTTACACGATGACGCTGTACTGCACTGGTTACAGTATGTAAAAAAAAAATAAAAAAAAGTGAAAATGTTTTAAATTTCTTGATTTTCCGAAAAAGGACGACAAATTACAACTTCAAAAAAAAAAAAAAAATCTCCATGCCTCTTATGAAATACGTTGGACTGTCTACTTTGCAAAAAGGGGTCATTTGGGGGATATCTGTACTGTTCTGACATTTTTGGGCCTCAAGAAATTACTTCAGGGTTGATCAATTTTCAGATATGGCCCATAGTTTTTTTAACTCTAACTTTCCTACAGACTAAACAAATTCTGATTTGGGTTATTTTCACCAAAAAAAGTAACAGAATACATCTTGGCCTAAATTTATGAACAATTATTTATTTGCAAACTTTTATAACAGGAAAACCATTTTTTTTTTCAAAATTTTTGGTCTTTTTTGTTAATTTAGCAAACAAAAACCCCAGTGGTGATTAAATACTACCAAAATAAAGCTCTAGTTGTGAGAACAAAATGATAAAAATTTAGTTTGACAATTGAGCGATCATGCAACACTGTACCCAAAGTGTGAAAACGCTGAAACCTGAAAATTGGCCTGGGCAGGATGGGTGTAAAAGTGCCAAGTAGGTAAGTGGTTAAAGACACTGGGGTGGCTTGCACTGCAATGTGTGAGTAGTGTACAAGCAGCCCGACAGACTGGTGTGTACACTCGCACACTGCAGGATTGCTTCTCTCCACTCTCCCACAGAGCAGAGAGAAGCGATCTTTACTTTCAGTTTCAATGTTTATTATGTAACTGCTGTGATTGGTCACAGCAGTCACATGGTAAAACATCACGTGATTGCCTGAACACAGCAGTAATATGATCCGCTGTGTCCGAGCGACACTCTGGGCTGCACGTTCTGTGAGCCGTGTACGAGCCATCAATGAGGGCTGACTTACAGGAAACGTCAGCCTGCATCGGCACTGCTTCCCATCCGCCGTGTATGTACAATGGGCAGACGGGAAGAGGTTAAGAATCAGGTTTTAGTGAAAAGTGTTCTGCTTCATCAAATCACTTGCTAACCAATTAGCAGGACAGTGCTCTTGTGTTCTTAAGTTATCATTCTAGGACTAAAAGTACAGGAAGTTGGAGATTGTCCTTTATGACTGTTGTAAGATGCTGTGTTTTGAAAAAAAAATTCCACTAATTCTTAACAGGGATTTAGCACAAAATAACTGGAACCAACAAAACATAAAAGTGGGATTGGCAAAGGAGTGGTTACAGAATTCCTGTTGTAAGTGTTTGGCAACATTATTCTGAACAATGTAACGTTAGTTTTAAATAATCAGAGTCTAGGCCCGATTTAGTTGCCAGGGCTACTATGGAAAGGACAATCCCGATGGTTTCCCTTTGTAGAGGGAAGACTATATGTAACCTTTGATCGGGGTGTCCCCCAAAGGGGATTGTGCAGGTGATGCATCAAAATGCATGTTTATGTTTTCCCATAATGAAAAGGCTGGGAAGTGGTTTCAACATCATTTAATGGGTTCTAGAGAGATCAGTCCTCACCGTTCTGCTCGAAGACGCTCTTGCTCTCTCTCAGCCGCAGCCTGCAGTTCTCGTTGCCTCTCACGTTCTTGCTCTGCTTGACGTATTTCAGCCAATTTCTTTGCATCTGCAAGCTTCCTTTGCCTTTCTTGCTCCTCCTCCTCCCGCTTCTTCTGGAGGAGCTCCTGGTGCCGGCGCTCTTCATCCTCCTATATTATAACAACAGCAATGTTATATACTGGCCCATCCAATTACAGTGGAAGACTTTACAGAGCCAGAACACACATTGGCAAGAGTAGAGGTATAAGCTTGCAGCTTCTTTTGTAAAGAGAAAAATCCTCTGAAGGATAGAAGTTGAACTGCACCATTTAAAGAGCAATCCAGCCATAACTATTTTCTCTCTTTGGAAAAGGAACAGAACCCCTGTTAAGTTACAGCTATCTGGTACCCAATTAAAAATCCCCCACAAACTATCAAGTTGCATCTCTCAAAACAGATTAAATTTTACTGGATATAAATGTTGTAAGTCCTATACATATGAATGTTCAACTTGTACACTTTCAAAGATACAAACATGTATTTGCATGTCCAATCGTGTAAAGCTAGGTACACACTTTTTTTTTTTTCCCGTTCAACCCAGCGAGCTTGAAAAAAACCACACACCTGACTGATCACTGCACTAACACAAGCAATGTTGGTGTGGCGATCTCCCCTCCTGTGCCTTTGTGTTGCGACAGGGGAACTGCCCCCACCAGCACACACACTGATCAGAACGCACAGCCATTGTTTTAGGAAATGCCATAAATCAGCACACATAATGGTACAGCCCTAAGGTAGTGTGCCATCTAGGGCTCCAATAAAAATAGTTACCCTTGCCAAACAGGAAAGTGATAGAAAAGGGCAGCAACACAAAAAGAAAGCTTTTTATCAGAGTAAACCCCACTAGAACACCGGTCTGCTTTTTATTCCTGCCTGTATTCCAGTTTTCCCCCCTAACTTTGTGTAAATCTCCTGGCAAGACAATTTAACCACAGACTTGTGTGTGTCAAGGCAACCCATGAACTATTTTGACGAGCATGATAAAATGAGTGTTTACCATTTATGTAAATTGAGTGCCATTCAGATTGAAAAGGACTGCAATACAATGCACATACTGTATACCTGTGCATTGTGGGCTTCAATGTGCAAGTGGTAACATTTAAATGGTTAACAGATTGACTTTGGGTCTGAAGATCAATGCAACAGATAGGCGGACTTCAAAGCATACAGGCACTCCAGCTGTGCTTGTGTGATGCAAACCAACTGTTAACCACTAGCATACAGGGCACTTATACCCCCTTCCTGCCCAGGCCAATTTCCAGCTTTCAGCGCTGTCACACTTTGAATGACAATTGCGCGGTCATGCAACACTGTACCCATATGATATAATTTTTTTGAGACAGAGCTTTCTTTTGGTGGTGTTTAATCACCTCTGGGATTTTTATTTTTTCTTAAACCAATGAAGATTAAAAAAAAAAAAAAAAAAAAAAAACCTTTTTTTTAGTTTTTGTTATAAAAATTTTGTAAATAAGTGATTTTTCTCCTTCACTAATGTGCGCTAATGAGGCTGCAGTGATGGGCACTGATAGGTTGCACTGATGGGCAATGACAGGCATCACTGATGGGCACTGAAAGGCAGCACTGTCATTGATAGGTGACATTGAAAGGCAGCTCAGATGGGCACTGATATGTGGCATTGATGTGCACTGGTAGGCACTGATATGTGGCACTGGCACTGATGAGCACTGACTGCTGGCACTGATGGACACTGAAAGGTGGCACTGCTGTGGCTACACTGATCATCAGGGCACACTGATCATCAGTGCTCTGATGATCAGTGCACATGTCCCCTCCACGGAAAGCCGATTACCGGCTCTCCTCTCGAGCTGTCAGCGTGACAGCTCGAGAGGAGAGAAATGCCGATAACTGGCATTTCCGTGTTTACATGTGATCAGCTGTGATTGGACACAGCTGATCGCATGACCGAGCCGACATCTTCGGCTCTTTCCATGATCCGCTGTGTCCGAGGGACACAGCGCACCGGCGATCGCCGCTTGCTCCCTGAGCCGCACATGCGCGGTGAGAACGGAAGGACGTCATATGACATCCTATCAGAACGAGAGAACCACCTTGCGCCCGTCATTGTACTATAGCGGGCGGAAGGTGGTTAATACACAAAGTTATGTAAAATCATATCCTATGGATTCCCCTGGTGGTACATAGAGAAGAGGAGGAACCTGAAGGGTTGGTGGAGGACCCCAGAAAAGGAGGAGATTTGGGGACGCTGTGTGCAATACCCACAACACAGAGAAGGCAAGTCTACCATGTTTGTTATATTTTTAAATATATATTTTAGACTTTGAAAACGCCTTGACATGAAAGTGTTGTCCACACATACCAGCTGTTTTGCTTTAAGTTTGCGTGCTTCCTCTTCCTGTCGCCTTCTGCTTTCTATTTCCTCCTGTTTTTTTGCTGTGATTTTCTTTTTGGCTTTTTCTTCAGCCATACGGTCTTCCCGAACCTGAAAAAGCAACATCCATATTAAAACAGCATGTTCATGAAGCTTTGGATCCTGATATATAGCTACAAAAAGGCATGCATGCACGCACACACAATAAAAAAAAAAAATAAAATAAAAAAAACATTTTAAAAAAATTACTTTTTCACTTTTCTCATCTATGTGTGCGAATTTCTGTTCTATTTTCTTCTTTTTCTCCTCTTCTAATTGTTCCACTCTCTCACGTGCCTGCAAAACCTTGCGCAAACGTTCTTCCCTTCTCCTAAAAAAAAAAAAAAAAAAAAAAAAAAAAAAAAAAAAAAAAAGCAAGAGGTTGAGATAGTCAGCAACAAATACATTTACAGAAAACCATTTATTTTGCTTTGGGTTGTTCTGTTTTTTGTATTGCTACAAAGCTTTAAAATTTGAATCCAGCTGAAATTTCTCTAGTAGTATCTTCTACTACTTCTAGTTGTGTGAATCCCAACAAAGGCAGAAGGGTACAAAAGGGAAGGAGAAAAGCCCACCCACCCACACAAAAAGGGAATAACCACATTATTATTGATATAGATGGAATTACTCCAGAATAAAAGCGGAGCTCCACCCAAAAGGGAAAGTTCTGCTTTAAGGCTTTGTCCCCCGCTTGCTGTTAAGGATTGGCACCTTTGAGGAGGGGGGGGGGGGGGGGGAAGGGTGGTGCGGGTACCCGAATTTGTCAGGTACCTGCTCCCACTTCTGCTGCGATCGCCTAAGGCGATCAGAGGTGGAAATTGTCCTCCCCCCCCTCCCTCTCCATAGTCTTCCGGGACACGTGATTTTGGATTTAGCACTTGGGATTTCTCGTTTTATACATGCACAAATATATATCTTTACAGTTAGATCCATATATATTTGGACAGAGGCACAATTTTAAATTTTGTTTCAGGTATTTACCAAAACATATTCAAGCTATAGTTATATAATGGATATGGGCTGAAAGTGCACACTCTCAGGTTTCATTTTAAGGGTATGTACAGCCATATTGGAGGAAGGGTTTAGGAATGACAGCTCTTAAGAGTAACCACCCCCCTTTTTCAAGGGACCAAAAGCAATTGGACAATTGAATCAAAAGCTGTTTCGTGGCCAGGCGTGGGCTACTCCGTTATTTTTTTCAACAATTAAGCAGGTAAAAGGTATGGAGTTGATTCTAAGTGTGCTATTTTAATGGATGATGTAGGTTCACAAGAATAGATTCCAAATGCAAAGGAGCTGTACATGGAAGTGAAATAGGCCATTGTATGGATTCAAAAACTAAACAAATCCATCAGAGAGATAGCAGCAACATTAGGAGTGGCTAAATCAACAGTTTGGTACATTCTGAGGAAAAAAGGATAAAAAGGCATGGACGTCCATGGAAGACAACAGTCGTGACTGATTGCAGGATCCTCTCTATGGTAAAGAAAACAACCCATTCACAACATCCAGACAAGTGAAGGACACTCTCCAGGAGGTGGGTGTATCATTGTCAAAGTCTACAATCAAGAGAAGACTTCACGAGAGTAAAATAGAGGGTTCACCACAAGGTGCAATCCATTCATAAGCCTGAAGAATAGAAAAGCCAGATTAGACTTTGCCAAAAAAAAAAAAAAAAAAAAAAAAACACATCTGTAAAAGCCAGACCAGTTCTGGAAAATAATTCTTTGGATGGATGAAACTAAAATTAATCTGTACCAGAATCACGAGAAGAAGAAAAAAAAAAGTGGAGTAGGCTTGCAACAGCTCATGATCCAAAGCACACAATGTCATCTATAAAACATGGTGGAGGCAGTGTAATGGCATGGGCATGCATGGCTTCTAGTGGCACTGGGTCATTGGTGTTTATTGATGAAGTGACAAGACGTAGCCGGATGAATTCTGCAGTGTTTAGTGATATACTGTCAGCCCAGATTCAGCCAAATGCAGCAAAGTTGATTGGACGGCACTACACAGTACAGATGGACAATGATCCAAAACACACTGCAAAAGCAACCCAGGAGCTTTTGAAGGAAAAGAAGTGGAATATTTTGCAATGGCCGAGTCAAGCACCTGATCTCACCTCTGCTGAACTGATGGATCCTAATTGTATAGCTGTGGAAGTGACCTCATACCCATATTCTTTCCCCATGAAAAGAGATTATGTGTGGAAGACCTATGTTCATATATAGGTCCAAAAAAGGTGAGGGAATAATTGTCACTGAAGTGGAGCATGATATTCATGAAAGTACTGTAGAGCATTGAGTTTCTGAAATTCGGTGCTCCACAGCTGAAATTTTGAAATGTCACTAAATATATTGAAGAACATTGCTTTGATATCACTATGGATGGACTATAAAGGACTTTCACACCGAGTTTAATGTTTCAAAGTTTTTTTATTTGATATAATAGTTTTCACATTAGCACTATAATCACTATAAAGTTGTGTATTTTAATAACTGATAAATATTCTGAGCAGCATAGCATCAACACTTATTTACATTCACTAGAGATGTGGTAACACGAGGTGTCAGCAGCAGCAGCTCACTGATTTATGATAGACTTTGAGCAATTTAGTCACTTTACTGGTAGTGTAGGATCAATGTATAAGTATTTTGGGATGGTTTACATTTGTTTTGTGTATCTAGATGGCAGAGCAGAGTAAATTTACAAATACCACTATGAGCAGGCATACTTTACGCTTTGCCCAACCGGACATTGAAGAGCGTACTGAAGGGAAATTCCCATGTCTCGCTACAATGCCTATTCACCCAAGCAAGTTTTAAGAGACAAGGCTTGGCAGTTAATGTAGTCCAGCCTAGCCCAGAACTAGACTGGAAAAGCACCCATGTGGAGCCCTGTGCCAGAGGATCACTTCCAGACTTGCCTCAACTTCCAGTCCAGCACATAACACCTTTTAGATCAGCTAAACCACAGTTTTGAGGCAAACAATGAGGTACAGAGAAGAAGGGAGGGATCCCTGTTTCCAGACTAAAAAAAAAAAAAAAAAAAAAAAAAAAAAGAAGAAGAACCTTTCCCTAGGGTACAATGAGCCTGAGAAAAAAAAAAAAAAAAAAAGAAAAAAAAAAGCTGACTGTAGTGTATCAAGAAGCAGCCCGACCCTTGCGAGGACCCTCAGGGAGAAACCAGTAACCCAGACCTCAGGTAAAGTTGAGCAGCTTGAACATCCAAAAAGAGGGCTAGGACAAAAAAAGATGGCAACACAACATCCTGATTCGGATGGAATGAAGAAACTACCACCAAAATTAGGGTCCTATGGAGACAGGCCACATATGTAGAACAATCCATGCAACACCCTACACAAAAGGCTTTTACCAAGGAATGAGATACAGGAACCTTGACTGTTCTGTCCCATTGGGGGAGATTTACCAAAACTGGTACAGCTGCGCATGGTAGCCAATCAACTGCTAACTTCAGCTTGTTCAATTAAGCTTAGACAATAAAACCTGGAAGCTGACTGGTTTCTATGCAAAGCTGCACCAGATTTTACATGCTCCAGTTTCAGTATATCTCCCCCAATAGGTCTTTGGGCCAGAACAATCAAGGCCCCTTGGTGGTACTCAAAGTCAGAGACTCTCCACACTAGACTGCAGAAATCCCAAAATGCATCCCACGACATGCTGTCAGTGATGAAAATTCGAGCCTCACACGAGGATAAAAGGTGAAGTACACCTTCCTGGAGGTTGATCTGAGAAGAGTAGGAATTAGAGTCAGAAACAGCCATATACCTCAGGACTTAGGCTTTAACTGCCAAGCCATCAAAGCCAACAACTGTGAAGCAGGATGGAAGATCAGACCCTGTAAAAGCTAACCTGGGAAAACCTGGAAGGGACCATAGCTTGTTTTCCAAGAGATTTACGATGTCTGCATACCACATTCTTTTTGGACAAGCAGGTGTGGACAGAATCATCAAAATGCCCTCCACCTTTATCTTGCACAATAAGTGAGGTAAGAAGCTGCAGAGGATCAGAAAGAAGCTGAAGTAATTTACCTCATACTGTAGGTGTGCTCGATTATTGCAGGCGCAGCACTGGAGCTGTGTTTCAAAAGGGGACTGAAAATGGCAGGATGTGCTAGAGGACATCACTGCACCCGATCTGCCCCTTTTGAACACCAATACATTCATACGCTGTTCCAGTCCTTCACAGTTCCCAGCCCTAAAAGCCCAAACAAGGAGTACTAGGGGACTACCACATTTTCTACATACAGATATTCTCCATAGGCCAAAAAAAAAAAAAAAAAGGCCCAGTCTTCATCCCTCATGGTGAGCTTGCCCCACATGATGTTCAGGGACTCCATGTCCTCCGAAGAAACACTTTTCTGGACCTTAACAGCACCTTGTTAGCAAAGTCACCAGATACTGGGTTACCCTGGAGGTGGCTGCCTGCAGAATCCAGCATCTAACAGCAATATTACATGCTCTTGAACGGATGCTCTTGGCCTCAGGTGACTGTTCGGATGCAGCCTCTCTTCCCCAGCAGGGCTGTGCACAATAGTCCACAGGCTAACTCCAAGTGAAGGTAATCCCCAGAGACCTCATCATAGGCACATCTATAAGCTATAACACCAACTAAAAATTGAGGGTTAGTTGAGCTGCGAGGGGTTAAGTCTGGGCAAGGAATCATGTCTTTATTTGGCCGGCATTCAGTCACTTGAAGGTGGTGGCACAACCCAAGTAGCACTAATATGAAATACCCTGCGATGTAAAAAGAAAACAAAATCTAACCACTTCAAAGTTACCCTTTCAGCCATTTTAAACAACCTGAACAAAAAGAAAAATCTTCTTCTGTTCATCCCTTTGATACTGTTTTTTTGTTGGTACCAAGGCTTTGTTACCTTGACTCTGAAACCAAGGTAAACCCTCTCCTCAAACAAAAATACTTCAGACCAGCAAGGCCATGAAGTTTAATAGTAAGAGAAGGGTTTTCCAGGGTAATAAAAAGGTAACAGGTAGGCAGGGCTTTTAAAAGCTTAAAAGCGAAAAGGAATCACCACATCATAAACTCACAGTTTTAGTTCCTCCTGCTTGCGTTTCTTGCTCTCTTCGATTTTTTGCTTTCGCTGAAGTTCAGCTTCCTCTTTTTTGCGCAAGGTTTCTAAGCGCTGACGCTCCTTTTCCTGTAAAATGGTTATGCGAAGAACATAAGAAAATATAGAAATCACACCAAGCTTCAATTACTAGTGAGACAATCTGATTTTTAGCTGAGATGGAGCACAAAATTAGCCACACCAAGTGAAGAAAAAACCCAACCAACCAGAACGCTGCTTGCCCTAAAAGTATCCAAAAACCAAGAAACACCAGTGATACTGCAACAAAAAACTAAGTTACTTACTTCTGTCTGAAAGAGGAGAGAGGGGGAAAAAAAGAAGAAGAAGGAAGTACATTGTTAGTCTGCATGAATTAGCACCGGAAACAGCAAACTAAAGTGCTACAGTTTGCGAGCAAAAAATTTAGAGCAACTCTGCTGTGTTAAAATATGATAAAAAGGTGAAGTACAAACACCTTCCTAACCTCCACAAGGAGTTCTGAAACCCACTGCTTTTAGTGGTGCAATGATAATTCTGGACAGAAACTGAAGTGGACAGTTAAAAAAAAAAAAAAAAAAAGTATTGGGTCAGCTGCCTTTAGACGCACGTGAACTTGAATGGCATCCCAGTCTTAGTCTGTAGGGTTCAATATTGAGTTGGCCCACCCTTTGCAGCTATAACAGCTTAAATCCTTCATTGAAGGCTGTCCACAAGGTTTAGGAGGGTATCTATGGGAAGGTTTAACCATTCTTCCAGAAGCACATTTGTGAGGTCAGGCGAGAAGGCCTGGCTCATAGTCTCCGCTCTAATTCATCCCAAAGGTGTTCTATCGGGTTGAGGTCAGGACTCTGTGCAGGCCAGTCAAGTTCTCCACCCCAAACTCACTTATCCATGGCTTTATGGACCTTGCTTTGTGCACTGGTGCTCAGCCATGTTGGAACAGGAAGGGGCCATCCCCAAACTCTTCCCACAGAGTTGGAAGCATGAAATTGTCCAAAATGTCCTGGTATGCTGATGAAAAGAGTTCCCTTCACTGGAACTATAGGGCCAAGCCCAACCCCTGAAAAACAATCCAACACCATAATTTACATTTGGCACAATGCAGTCAGGCAAATACCGTTCTGGCAACTGCCAAACCCAGACACGTCCAATGGATTGCCAGACAAAGAAGTGTGATTAGAGCAGTGGACACGTGTTCTCTGGAGTGACCAGAGTCCAGTGGCGGCGTGCTTTACACTACTGTACCCAACACTTTGCATTGTACTTGGTGATGTAAGGCTTGGATGCAGCTGCTCGGCCATGGAAACCCACTCTATGAAGCTCTCTCCACACCAAGTTTGGAGGTCTTTAGCTATTGACTCTGCAGACAGTTGGTAACTTCTGTACACTTTAGCATGCACTGAACCTGCTGTCATTTTTCGTGGCCTACCACTTCATGGCCGAGTTGGTGTTTCCAGTTGCTTCCACTTTGTTATAATACCACTAACAGTTGACCATGGAATATTTAGTAGCAAGGAAATGTCACAGACTGAGTTATTGCAAAGGTGGCAACCTATCACGGTACCACACTAGAATTCACTGAGCTCCTGTGAGCAACCCATTCTTTCAACAAAAGTTTGTAGAAGCAGTCCGCATGCCTAGTTTTTTTTACAGCTGTGGCCATGGAGGTGATTGGAAGGCCTGAATCCAATGAATTGGAGAGGTGTCCCAATACTTTTAGCAATATAGTGTGTGTATATCTATCTATATCTCTCTCAGCTTTTCAGCCAATAGGCTGCTTTCACACTGAGCAGTTTCTGAAGTGCAAGAAAAAAAAAAAAAAAAAAACACCACACACACACACACACACACACACGAAAAGCTCAAGAAAAATGCATCCTTTTAAATTCAAGGTATATGTTCACACTGTCTGTTGTGCTTCCCTTGCCGTGTGAAAAATCCTGCTTACCGCATTGTTGGTGCATATTTGGTCAGGAAAAAAAAAAAAGCACACACACCTTCCCATTTAGGCTTGGTTCACACCTATGCGTTTTAATGCTTTTTGCAGAAACCCACTACAGTCCATTTAACATGGTTTCCAATGGGACATGTTCACACCTATGCTTTTTTTGGCCTGCTGTTGGGTTATTGGTTCAACAGACTTCTGCAGAAAATACATGTTTGATGATGTGTTTTGTGTTTTTTAATCTACCCAGCAACAAGTTGGTAAGTAAAAAAAAAAAAAAAAAAAAAAAAAAAAAAAACGCAAAATGCACTACAAAAACAGACAAGATGTAAGCTGCATTGTTGTGAACCAGGTCTGAAATGCAGCAAAAAACACTTTACGTTTTTTGAGAGTCACAACCTATGAAAAAAAAAAAAAAACGCATCCTAAACTGGTAAAAATCGTGTGTTTATTGGTGGCCATTATTTGCACCTTATTTTCAATATTTTGGGTAATGCTGCTTTTTTAAAAACGTTTTTACACATACCTTGGGGTCTGCTTTCAGAGGCGTATTGCGCTTTATAAAAGATTTCACCATTAGAGTTTTGCTGATAGATCCTGGAGTCATCATTAACAGTTGATTTTTCTGCACCGTATGCAGGAACGTTTTCATGTGAGGAGGAAGTGGCTTTACAACCTAAGGAGGAAGTTTGTTTTAATATACAAGACTAGGTTAAGGGCATATACCTGTTCCCAACCAATTAAGAACTTACCTTGGAGGGAGGACAAGGTGGAGAGAGACTCTTCTTCCGTGGAGGAGAGAGTATTTGCTCATCATCTGGCAGGTCATCATCAGACAGTTCATCTACTGCTCGCTTATAACTCTTCCTCCTGTCAGAGACCTTAAGATTACACAACTGTCTAGAGCTAAAAATTAAAGTGTTTTTTCACAGTAAACTAAATATAAAAAGGTCTGTCCAGATATCAGGTGGCTTCCAACACAGTTTAGAATATGGATATGTTAAACCTGCAGGATTTAAAGTGGTTATAAACCTCAGACAATAAATATGAACAAAGCATATCCCTATATAGTGTGTACTTGTCTCAATCCAGAACATTAAGGGCCGGTTCACACCATAGAAACAAAGTCCAGATGCGTTACGGAATCAATGTTTTTGACGCGATTTTGATGCATTTTAATTCATTTTCCCCCCTCTTTTTCTTCAATTTAAATAGGGACATGTACGTTCCAGTGCGTTTTTTAAGCATTTTATCACGTTCCAGTACAGTTCTGTGCAGGAAAATTTCAGCCTGTTCCACTTTTTTTTTTCTGTAACTGGAACACACTGGAAATGCAATCACTGATGTGAACTTTGACAATGATGACAACCATATAACCTACTTTCTGTGCGTTTTGGGCACAGAAAAAAAAAAAAACAAAAAAAAAAAAACACCACACTGAAAATGTATGTAGTGTGAACTGGCCCAGAGTGTCAATTCTGTCTGCTGCCTTGTTCCTCTATCAGCAGGAGTCACTTTTGACCAATTTTCCTGACACCAAAAAGGTGTCAGCTCCATCACACAAGCCTGGGATTGAAAGCCTCAGCTCTGTTCTTGTGTGCAGCTGTGTTCTTGTGACTAACTTCAGCTCCCTGCATGCTCAGACAAGCAGTATAAATTCAGCAATTCGAACAGCTTTAGAAAAGAGAATACTGCAGATAAACAGGTGCAACTTATGTAGGAGGATTTGTTTACTCTATCACATGAGGCCAGTCACTTCAATGGGTATATGTAAGGGTAGACAACCACTTTAATCTGACTGCAGTAAAAACAGAGAAAGGATTCCTAGAAAATGTCAGGTTTAAACCAACTGGGGATTTTTTTTTGCAGAGATAATACAAAAGGACAAGCACCTTATTGTTTGATCATCAGTTGTCTCTCGACAGGTTTCTGTAAAATAAAGGATGGAACATCATATATTAACACAGCCATAAAACAGGGGAAAGAAAAACAAAAAAAAAAAAAAAAAAAAAAAACTGTGCTACAACATTGACACATTTTATTTACAAACACACTTAGCTTGGTATACACAAATCCATGATAAAAGAATGCCGATAAGAGCAGTATAGAAGTTTATTTTGACAGTGTCTCTTTATTGAACTTTTGTAAGTTTTATCTTCCCAAAGAAAAAGATCCTACTCTTCACAATCATGCCTTACCCCTGGTTCACATATGTGCGGCCGTGATTTGCACGGTCACAAGAGAGCCCATTCATTTGAATGGACTCCCGTGCCACGGGACATACAGGGAAGAAGTCCCTGCACTACTTTAGAAATCGCACCCCTCATAAAAACTGAGGTTCCCAGTACGGTTGCAATTTCCAGTGCGGATGGCCCGCCAGCGGATCCCGCATTCCTCTGTGTGGGTGGTGTGGCTGCAGGCATCTGTGGGCGTCCCGCAGTGGCACCACTCGCACAGATGTGAACCAGAGGTTATTCATGTCACCCATTTTCGGCAGCACCTATATTTGTGAGCAACTATTTTCAAGGATGAAGCACACAAAAGGGCAAAATTAGAACCAAAATATCTGATGAGCACCTTAAGAATTAATTGAGAATTACTACTACATCCATCCAACCAGATATTGATGCGTTAATTTATCAAAAACAGTGTCAAATACCACCCTAGTTTTACGTTGCTCTTTTACCTAAAGTATTACTAAACCAAGGACCCTTCATTCATTATATCTGGTCTCCCACAGTACACAGAATATGGAAATGAAATGGAGTAAATATAAACTGTAAAATACCTTTACTCATCAGCAATTATAGCAGTCTATCAGTGTCCAGCAGAGCACTGGCTAAAGCTTCAAAACGCCTCCTACACTCTCCAGATTGTCCTAGGAGGCTGCAGATCCCCTAACCCTCTGTCTGAACAGTACTGATTAGCCCTGTGCTGATCAAATGCACTCTTCCAAGATAAGGGAAGAAAAAAAAACGAAACAAAAAGAAAAAAAAAAGAAAACAAAACACTTAGCAAATATACACCAAACTGAGCATGTGCAGCCTGCCCCCAAGGCTCTGTTCCATCAGCAGTTGGAATGGGGACAGTAGTAAAAAGGGAGGATCAGAGAAGACAGGATCAAACAGCCTTTTTACACAATGTGGGGGATTAACCCCTAAGGTTACACAGCGAGTATAACAAGCATGCTTTACTGCATATACAGATTGGTTTTAGTATCACTTTAACATGAAATATTACACACCAAAAAAAAAAAGTTTTATTACTCAGATAGGTACATCGATATCAGTGGTCGTCAACTTGTGATCTGGCCGAATTTTCCAGCTCATCAGCTATGCTTATTGTTAAGTGTCTTATGTGTGGCCCAAGACAAACCCTCTTCTTCCAATGTGGCCCAGGAAAGTCAAAAGGTTGGTCACTCCTGCTGTACACAGTAATCCAGACTCTACACCAGTACTATGTGTCATGTTACGGAAGAAAATATGATTTTTTTTTTTCATGCTACCATTTACTTACGGAGTTTTATACAATTTCATGGATTACCTTAGCCTTCCTGATAAAGCTTAGTTTTAAATCTCCCCCTCCCTCTCATTGTTTTTGTCTTAAGGAACAGTACGGCAATTTACACACCAATAACTGTTCACAGTAACTTAGATTCTACACTGGTCTAAGCACTGGATACAGTATACACTGCACAAGGGAACCTATCTGCTTCCCTTTAGTCTGGGTAACTTGTCACCTAGGCAAGCATTGCCTTGTCCGGGGCCCCTCTGCAACAAAACCACAGGCAGTCTCTCTACTCTCATTACGGTTGCGAGCATCTGTCTTCAGTAGCCCAGTATTCATCTTAAATTGTTTATAGTTTCAAAGTTGTGCTATTTTCATTCTAATTCCTATGGAGACCACCTTATCAAGAACGTCAAAATTGTAAAAACTCAATTAGTAATCCCACCACCATTTGATGTCAATGACTGTTGTGTTGTCATCCTCTGTGGCTCACCAGAGTCTGGTAGGTTGCTAATAGGAATCTTTTTACAAGTGCGCACCCGAAGAGAACGCCTGGGACTGTCAGCCAATGGAGCCTAAAGAATAGATAAACATTTGTGAGCTTATAGACAGTTTACATACATTTTTAAAAAAGTATTTCTTAAATATATCTCTCTAGGGAAATGCAATAGAAATATATTCTACTTTAGACTTCATTTAAGTCTTGCCATCGATTATGTATATACCAGGGGTGGACTGACCATTTGGAAACTTGGGCACTACCCGTGGGCCCAGGGTCAGTAGGGGGCCCCATGAGATGCCCCTGGTACCTTTATCATAGGCTTTTTTAAGTTTGGGCAATGACACAGGGGCCCCATGATCCCCTATTGCCCGGGGGGCCCCATGAGTTGTCAGTCCGCCCCTGGTATACACCAATAGTTGACAATAACTTGGCATTCTGGGACCACCTAAATCACAATCTGCAAGCCATTCTCTTCTCCACATGCAGTATAGTTTAGAGAATTAACAGCACCCAGTTAATAAAAGGGGCATGGCACAGAAAGAGTTAAAAAAAAAAAAAAAAGCGCCACCACATAAGATCATTACAAAAATGTCATGCACATCCGATCAGTCCTAGTTAAGTGACTAACAAAGTAAATGTATTTCTTACCTCAACAGGTTCAGCAGTTTCAGCAGCTTCAGCCCTACAGCAGATTTAATAAACAAATATAAATCTGAAAAATTTGGTACCATTCTTCCACCACTTATGATTTCCGTGTATAACTTTAAACACAACCATTATGTAAAAAACTAGTTACAAGTACATCCCTTTGCCTGATGATATGAGCAGTGAAGTCACCCAGAGGAGCAGCAGATTCAAGTAGAACAGGTGACAAGCATATAATGAAGGCATGCATAATCTTGAGATTGGCTAGATAATTGTCCACCATAAAACTTCAGCCAGTGCATGTGATGTGTGTGTGTATAAAAAAAAAAACAAACAAAAAAACTAACATTTTTATATTATACACAGTCCCCATTTAATTTCCAGTCAGTCATTCGAAAAACCTATATTGTTAATCCCGCAGAATGTAGCTGATCTAGCACCTAGCAGTTGATTTCAAACAAAACCAGAACCATTTTTTTTTGGTTTTTTTTTTTTTTTTTTTTTTTATCTAAGGCAAGCAAAGATGCCTTTAGTAAAGAATTTGCACTCAAGAAGAGGGAAATTGTGAAACAAGAGGAGATCCAAGATTTATTTGTTCCCACAGTTATTTTACTGTGATAAGTCTCCTTCAAATGTCACTAATTTTCTCAGATACTGTCATTGTGACAGTGTCAAATCACTGAAGAAACCAAAGCAATACACTTAAAGGATAAGTTCACCTTTTAGACAAAAATAATAAATGCACATTTTTTTTGAGGTAAAAAAAAAAAAATTAAACAAAATGTGCATTTATTATTTTTGTCTACAGTAGCCTGGAAAGCATTGCAAGTCTTCTGCAGACCTGTCAGAATATTTGTGGAGCTACCACGGTGCTGTGGTTGTCGCCAAGGCTGTCAGGACTTGCAGTTTATTAATTCATGGAAGTCTCTGAACACGGCCTTCAAATTTGACAGCTAGTATGGGGAGAAGTCTCCCTGTACTGTCTGTGAGAGAGAGGGGGGGGGGAAGGGGGTGTGGCGGTTATGGCTGCAGCTATGGGAACATGTTACACGTTCACGTTAAAAACAGGTGCAACATGTAATATGTTCCCAAAGGTGAACTTACCCTTTATACTGACCACACACTGATCAAGACCTGGCTGGTTCAGCTGGGATCAGCAAATCCTGATCCATGTGTGGAGGTCCCCGCTTTGCAGAAGATGGTCACTTGATTGACAGCCAATGAACAGGCAAGTTGTAAACATTTTCCCGATCATCAGCTGCAGCCACTGCTCCATGTATTCTGACAACAGTGGGAGCCAGAGGGGGAAGTGAGGAATTCCTATATGCACCTTGTTTGTGTGGGTAGAGGAATCTGTTAGTTTTTCCCATTTAGCCCGCAGACCGAACAAAAAGAAAACTAACCATGTATAGCCAGCTTTACACAGCTAAGAAAGCTGTTGACTATTCAAACTATCTCACAATTGTTTTCCTCACCTAACTTGAACAGTGACTTCTTCATCCACCATTTCAATGGAGCTCTGGTCTGCAGAAAAAAAAAAAATTGCGACATGTAAAAGCAGCACTAAGGAAAAGTCACATAGCAAACTATACCCAGTTGAGAACTGTAGTCTAATTTTCACCAGCAGTCCCAAGATTAAGTAAGGTGCTTGTAGTGCTCCAAACAGCAAAAAACCCTGCTCCAGGTATTCGCAATCTTAGGACACAACACAGTGCCTTGTCGTGTTTCATCTCTCTTCATATAGCAATTAAGACTAGCGACAGTGATATGGGATCAGACCTCACTCCTACAACTCAATTAAAATGTGTCCAGTGGTTGTAGGATAGGAGCAAAAAATTTAGAGTCAGATTTTGAGCCACAGCTTTTTCAAAAATTATACCGGGTTTAGAAAGCAAGCAACAAGCTTGCAAAAATTAAAGAAAACCTGTGCTGATTTCTGCTAAGTGTATTCATTTCTTTTTGGTAACTAAGATTCAGAAACCTTCTTGCTCCAATCACTCCTTTTCTTTGACAAAGCCAAAAAAAGAATGACAAGCTGCTGCTCAGTCTTGGGTAGATTATAATCATAAACACAACATGTAGTTGGCCAGATAAGTGGGGCTTCAGAACCTCAAGATGGGCAAGGTTATCCTCACAAAAAAAAAAAAAAAAAAAAAAAAAAAAAAAAAGGGGTACTTACAACTTTTGTAGCTAGATGATGAAGAATTATCTGTAGCTCTCTTTTTCGATATTGAGCGACGAATAGAATGCCGAACGGCTTCTCGAGTCATGCTTTCACGCTTCTTGGCTAGGGAGAACTGGTTAGCTAAGGAAGGACGGCAGCTGATTGACTTACGACCCACAATACTGCGACGCACTGAGCGTCGGTCTGACTTCGAGCCTGTAGGTGTTGTGCTATGACTTGACAATTCTAATGCCAGTATCTTAGCGGCTTCTTCAGCACGCAGGGGTGTTTCACTTGTCAAATCTATCATTTCTGTATCAGCAACCTTAGGTGTGGAGCTGTCTGCAATCTTTAACTTAGCTGCTGTGCGGCCATTTTTTTCAGGGGTGACAGGATCGAGGGGTTGTGTGGTGGTCACTGATGGAGCAGTCTCTGGCACGGTCAGGACAACAGTCTCTGGATTCTCTCTCTCTACTGAGCCCAATGCAATAATCTCTTCGCAGTGATGTTCTGCACTACGGCGTTCTTCAGCACTGATCTTCACCTGCAAGATGCGATCACTGGGGATATTAGCAAGATCTTGCAGTGGTTTGTCTGATACTGGCATGCATGCTGTGCTGGCTTGTTTACGTGCCCGAGTCATTCTCTTGGGCTGGTCAGCATCCTCCTGAATGGATTCATTAAGTGGTTTGTTAATATGTTTGGTGGAGAGCCTACGCACAGATAAGCTCCAGCTGGCACTGCTTCGTCTCCTGGATATCCTGTGGAAAACAATCATTGCCTTAGGCTGTGCAAATGATACAAATATAAAACCAAAATAAAATGCTGTAGCATATGTGCAATTTCTTGACAAAAAGCACTAAGCAGGTGCTGACATATCTAGTGTCAGAATAAGGACACCTGATCGCTGCACAAGCTTGTAAACCTATGAAACCTGCTGCAAGGGGAGACTGCACATCACCTTCACTAAGCAGAGTATACCGAGGCTCCTTGACCTCGCCTCTTCTTGCTACAACTACTCTATGTCACATGAACAGGTCGACAATGCTTGCATAACTGAAGGTTTAAAAGGAGAAGAAGTTCATCTTTTAACAGAAAATAGTAAATGTACTTTGCAGGTTAAAAAAAAATAAAAAAAAATGTGCTATTTTTTGTTTCAGAAGCCTGGAAAGAATTGCACTAGCAATTAGCAGATTGAAGAAAAATATAATAAGGAAAACCTTTCGCACTGCCACAATACTACACTAACTCTATGGTAGAAGAAAGCGGCAAGCACCCAGCTATATAACCAAATAGTAAAGATGCAACAAAAAAGGGGTGTGGTGCTGCGCCAACAAATCTAAAACTAAGAAAGGTGGGAAAAATGTATGACCCACAAGGACCGTACCACACGTGAACTGAAACTTGAACAGCGCAAATACCACAAGTGTACAAACATATGTGAAAATAAATACATATAAAACAAGTCGACAACTGAAGACGTGCCATAATACTAAAAGTGAAAAGTATATAAGAATAAAGTGGTTAAAATAAATATGTAAATAAAAATAAACTGGTATAACAAATACCAAAAGAACCCAAAAGGTAATATACAGTATACTAGTGCAAATTTAAAACTTGGATGACATAAATGTCAGGGAAGAATGTAAATAGATGAGTGAAACAAACAGAAATATACATGGCATAAATAATGGAGCCACAATGTGAGAATGAGCACAAATATCACAAGTGCAATACCATATGTGAAACAAACACAAATGGACACGTCATCAACTCAAGACACATACCATAGTGATAAACGTGAACTGTACATGAAAACCAAGAAGAGATAATGTGAATGGATGGTAAAAAGATATTAGAAAACTGGGTATACCAATAATAAAAGTAAAAACACAAAAGTATATATACCAGTGCGGGACTAAACATGGACGACAAAAATGTAAACAAAAAAAAATATAAATGAATAGTGAATAAAAAAGTACAAAAACACAAAACGTCATAATTTGGCATGAATGTTGCCACAAAATGTGAACACAAAAGATGGTGTAATAGTCCACGACACACTAATACATGTAAAGTTCAATACTTGACTTCCCAAATAAACTTGATGGGTGATAGCGAAAATAATCAGCTTGCCAAGAGATCCACCATCGGCTAAAAAGCCTCCTCACCTCCAAGCTGCGACCCCTAGGCGCCAAGGCACTTCAAAGGCGCTCACTGCCAAACAGATCAGCATCCAATGGGGGTCTTAACGTACTAATCTCGGAACTGTCAGCAACAGTGGTGGTATCCCCCCACAGGAAAAAAATGCACCGTACAGCCACTCAAACTATACCAAAAAGAGGAGAAAAGGAACATTGGAATATGAGAAAAAACTGCAACATTTCGGATAGTACAGTCTCTTCGGTTCAGAGGAATGATTCCTTTACTTTCCAGAATATGTTGCTTGCTGCTCTCAGGCTCTTCACTGGTGGCATCCCTCTGCTTGTACTCATCAATCCAGGATTGTAAACCTGAAACTGGCCCAGTTCCCACCATAATAATTCCTCACATCAAGATGGAGAACCAGCTGTCCTATTCTAAAGCAGGCAGCTGCTACAATGGACTCTGGCAGACCTGTGCCCAGGATGACCACAATGGACTCCTGACAGACCTGTGCCCAGGATGACCACATGTGGTCATCCTGGGCACAGGTCTGCCAGAGTCCATTGTAGCAGCTGCCTGCTCTAGAATAGGACAGTGGGTTCTCCATCTTGATGTGAGGAATTATTATGGTGGGAACCGGGCCAGTTTCACATTTTCAGGTTTACAGTCCTGGATTGAAGAGTACAAGCAGAGAGATGTCACCAATGAAGAGCCCAAGACCAGCAAGGAACATATTCCGGAAAGTGAAGGAATCATTCCTCTGAGACGGTAGGGTGCATCAGTTTGACATGGAGTGCCTTGGAAGTGAATTTGAGCCTAGGGGGTCGCAGCGTGGAGGTGAGGAGGCATTTTAGCGGGTGGTGGATCTTTTGTCAAGCTGATCACTTTCACTATCACCCATAAAGTTTATTTGGGAAGTATTGGACTTTACACGTATTAGTGTATCGTGGACTATTGCACCATCTTTTGTGTTTATTCACATTTTGCCGTTTGTGTGCTTATCTTTTATTCACTTTTCATTTATTATTTTTTTCTTGACATTTCTGTCATTCATGTTTAGTCCCACACTGGTATATATACTTTTGTGTTTTTCTTTTATTGATATTCCAGTTTTCACATATCTTTTTACCATCCATTCACATTGTCTCTTCTTGGTTTTCATGTACAGTTCACTTTTATCAATATGGTATGTGTCTTGAGCTGATGACGTGTCCATTTATGTTGGTTTCACATATGGTATTGCACTTGTGATATTTGTGCTCATTCTCAGTTTGTGGCACATTTATGCCATTATTTATTTCTGTTTATGTTTTCACTCATCATCTAATTACATTCTTCCCTGACATTTATGTCATCCACGTTTAAAGCTGCACTGGTATATATCACCTTTGGGTTCTTTTTGTATTTGTTATACCAGATTATTATTTACATATATATTTTACCACTTTATTCTTATATATTTTTCACTTTTAGTATTATGGCACGTCTTCAGTTGAGGACTTGTTTTATTTGTGTTATTTTCACATATGTTAGTACACTTGTGGTATTTTTGCTATTCAAGTTTCAGTTCACATGTGGTACGGTCCCTGTGGGTCATCCATTTTTCCCACCCTTCTTAGTTTATTTAGATTTGTTAGCGCAGCACCACACCCCTTTTTGTAGCAGAATGAAGGAGCCATGCACGACTCTTGCAGATGGCAGTGTAATCGTCTTCTTGTATGAGCAGACAGTTTTACATTGATAGGAAAAATCAATTAACTACTACAGCGCTCTGGTAGTTCATTGAGAGCCACAAGCCAACAGCCACAATGACTGTGGGAACTTGTAGTCTTCCCATTCACAGAAAACTGTAAACTGACGACACGGCCAGGCTGGAGGAACCCTGAATGGCTATGTTTTTGTTTTTTTTTTTAAATTGTGATAGCTAGCGGGGGAGGGAAGATCCCCTGCTAGCTGTTACAATGAGGTATTATGGAGTATGGGGGCCTGTACAATTGTAACATGTTACCCTGAATATGGGTGCAACAGTTAACAAAAATGTAACTTATCCTTTAAATGTGCATCTAGCATTCATATACTGGTACCAAAAGCAACCTTGATGCATTTTGCACACTAACTTATAATTCATAATGTACTATTTTCTGCTCCTGGGCAACTTTCTGATTCCAGGCCCACATTCTACTGTACATAAATTCTTGACTTCTGGGAGTAGTCGATAAGCTCATTCCACCTAAGATATAATCTCTCTGTCGTTCAAAGTCCCAATAGAAGCACCCTGATTGACCTTTTACATACAAACTGGCAAGACAGTGCTTAACAGCACCAGACTGTAGGTACAGCGTGAGCTTGTGATTCAGGCACTTCCCAGGACCTTAGAAAACTAGTTGAAGTTAAATATAAGTGGAATCTTCACAAGGCCCCTGCATATGAGTTAGTACGATTAGTTTGGTCACCTAAAATGTTCACCATCATTGTAAAGTACAGCTGTTTTGGTGCTTTAGACGTTCTGTTAGAAAAGAACCACAATAAGGCAGAGATAAAACAAAAGAAGCGTAGTGCATAAATGATCCATAGTATCGTTACTGCTGCAGCAGTTACCTGCGCCCACTCGGATCCCTATTTTCATCAGGCACAATAGAGATTCTTTTCTTTCGGCGTCTCTTTTGAGACGGTGTCTTTGGCATCAATTCTGGCTCAGCAGTAAAGTCACTGTTGACAAAGTAGACAGCTGTAAATATATTGCAGACAGTAAACCCAGTGATAGCAACAACCTGCTCAGCATATTAGAATTAAAAAAAAAAAAAAAAAATATTTATTGAACTGAGATCTGGAAAGTGTACAGAACTGTTAACTGTACAAAACAGAAGTGAGTTTTGCAGGACATTTCCATCAATGTTTGAATTCCAATCAAGATGACAATTTAATAAACATTTGCAGCTTGAGATAGGTTAGCCGATGATGCGCTGGTCCCACTATACTCACTTGCTGAACATCTTCCTGGCTGCTTCCTCTATCTCCATCAACCATACCATGTGCTTGCAGTCCAGATGCCGCACAAAAATCTTCTGTTTTGCGGGCACATACTTGCAGAAGATTGGAAAGACTTTCTGGCTCATTCATGGTGACACCTACAGGGTTAAAAAAAAAAAAAAAAAAAATAAATTTAGATTTTTTTTATTTCAATACACCCTATCTATATACATTTATCAAGTTGCTTGTGTGCGAAAGACCAAGGAAGTGAGAAAACTGTATACCTCTAACTTCCTGATTACATGTGTCTAAATTTAGAAATGTTCCTTGGTATCGGTCATAAGATTACGAATTGTAATTCTATTTGATTTTATCTGTGACCTTCCTTGCTATGTGATACACCTTTAGTCTCAGTCTGTCATTGTTACCTCTGGAAAATTAATACATTTTTCATACTATTTATCCAAGTTTAAATTGAACTGAATTCCCCCCAGCCACACCATGGAGGTGGATAGTGGAATCCTGCGTGCTGTGTCACTGTAGACTGCTCAGCTGACTAGGACACCCCCCCCCCCTTCATAAAAAAGGGACTTGGCACCTCTTATGGGCAGTCCTTTTTCGGTATAAAAACCCCTCTCTGCTATGGGTCTCCAGCCCATCACAAGCAGCACCAAAGGAGAGATCTCCCTAGAGGGGTGGGTACTGTGACCATCAATGAATGCAGAGAAAAGGGATTTTACAGCAAGTACAAAAAAAAAAATAAAATTGAGACACGGTGGCTGCTTCTTTAACCTTAATGAAGCAGGGATGTCCCCAAGCAGTGCCAGAATGAGGGGAGGGCAACCATACACAATAATAAAAAGAAAGAACCCCCAGGGCAACAAGCCAACACCCCAAACAACCCCAAAAGGGGAGGCCCAGGAGCCCTTAACAGCCACCTGCAATGGCCAAACCTAGCATCAGAGGATGCCAACACATCAACTTTATAAAAACTTTGTAAATGTGTGCACAGATGACCAGGTTCCCACGTTCCAAACCAGAGAAATAGACATATGATGTCAGAACACCCAAGAGGTTCTAACCTCTCTAGTGGAGTGCACCATAACTGGGAAGGGAAGCTCCTGCCCCTTAACAGCATACACCTGAACAATCGACTGCCAAATCCAACGAGAAATAGTGGCAGAAGATAATGCCAGGCCCTTCTTCAGACCATCTGTGAGGATGAGGAGAGTCTGACCTCTGAAAGGCAGCAATTACAGACAAGTACACGCGAATCGCGTGGACCACATCCAGGGAATGCAGAGCCACCTCTTTAGGGTGCATTGGTCGAGCACACAGTGAGGGAAGAGCAAATATCCTCATTCAAATGAAAATCCGACACCACCTTTGGCAGAAACGAAGGGGGAAGGCCAAAGCACCACCTTGTGCTGGTGTAAAACCATATAAGTCCGCTTACAGGACAAAGCTGCCAACTCCCACACCCTCCGAGGCAACGTGATAGCAAAAAGAAAGGGAACCTTTTGCGAAAGCATAAGCAAGGGGATTTCCCAAAAGGCCTCAAATGGAGACCTCTGAAGAGCCAACAGCACCAAATTCAAATCCCACGGTGGCAAAGAGGAGCGCACAGGAGGAACCACGTGACGAACCTCCTGAATGTATGGACCAAAATACATAGCTAAGGGCCACTAAAAAAAAAAAAAAAAAACAACCAGAGCAGAGACTTGACCCTTGGTTGTACTCAACGCGAGCCTTTGATCAACACCCCGCTGGAGAAAGGCTAACACCCGAGCCACAATGAAGGAACGTAGCTGGAACCCCAAGGCTTCACACCAACCAATATAGTCTTTCCAGGTGCAATGATAAATCTTCCAAGAAGTAGACTTACGGGCCTTACACAGTCGGAATCATCGATCCAGACAACCCCATCCTTCAGAACCTGGCTCTCAATAGCCATGGCATCAAAGCCAGTGATGGTAAAGCAGGATGGAAGACTGGCCCTTGAGACAGAAGGTCTTTCTGAAGAGGCAGCCTCCAGGGAGTATCTGCCACCAATCGCAACCCGTTGGCAGGCGATGAGGCCAGTCCGGAGCAGTGAGAATGACTGGGGATCCCTTCGGCCTCTATCCTGCGTAATAGGTGAATCAGTTGAAGGGGTGGGAAGGCGTAGAGGAGGGTGTGCTGATCCCACGGCGCTACCAGCGCATCTGGTGCTTCCGCCAGGGGATCCAACGATCTTGCAATGAACTGCGGAACCTTCGATTGAGGCGGGAAACCAGAAGATCCAGGTCCGGAGTCCCTCAGTGAACGCAGAACTGATGGAACACTTCCTCCGAATGTAGGGACCACTCGCCCTGATCCAGCATTTGACAGCTGAGATAATCCGCTTGCCAGTTTGATGCCTGGAATATGTACGCCGGAACCTCTCTGCCCATTGCAGAATGTGAGGCCTCCAGAGCCGCTGCTGCACTTCTCATGTCCCCCCCCCCCCCCCTCCCCTGATGATTGACATAAGCCACCGCAGTGGTATTGTCCTGAATCCTGGTCCAACAGATGGTCCTTCCAATGCGTCAGACAACCTTATCGCTCGAACCTCCAGGATATTGATGGGTAAGCGAGAGCTTCCCCCGGAGTCCATCAACCCTGAGCAGTCTGCTCCCAGGACTCCTCTCCAGCCCAACAGGCTGATATCTGTTGTGACCACAGTCTAGCGGATGGGGAGGAAAGTCTTTCCATTCCGTAAAGCCAGGGACTTCAACAATAAAGGGAAGCCCTCGTCGACTGTTCCAGGTGAATCTGAAGGTCCAAGGAGGGAGAAGCCCTGTTCTATTTTGATAGAATTTCCCTCTGTAGTATATTTGTATGATAATAGGCATAAGGAACTGCTTTGAAGCCACCATCAAGCCTAACACCCGTATGCACAGACACAGAGAGGACCACCTGAAAGCCTGGAGTTGCCGAACCGCCAACCAGAGCTTCAACAATTTCTCAGACGGAATACCTTGGCCTGCTCCGAATCGAGAATCAGCCCCATATACTCCGGGCGCGTGGAACGAGTCAACACCAATTTCCTAAGGTTCAGAATCCACCCGAAGTCCCATAGGGAACGCATGGTGATCTCCACACGGTCTAACCCTAAGTTCACATCTAAGCGTTTTCCACAGTGTTTTTGCAGAAACGCACAGCAGTCCATTTAACATTATTTCCTATGGGACAGGTTCACATCTCCGCGTTTTCTGGAAAGGGTCAGGGACTTTAACGCAATAAGTTGCGTTTTTATTTCTATAGACTTCAATGGAAATGCTGCAGAAAAGCATGTAGTGCGGTTTTTATGCATTTTAAATCTGCCTAGCAACAAGAACAAAAAGTATCAAAAACAAGGCAAAAATGAAAAAATTCAATGCAGAAAACGGCTCAAGCGCAACCTGCATAGGTATGAACCTAGTCTAATAGCGAGGAGCGAGTTCCCGCGCATAGAAGCAAATTTTTCAGGAGCAAAACACTGCGATCCCCAGTTGTCTCAATAAGGCCAGGACCGGGGCTAGGACCTTGGTAAACACCTGAGGTGTGGAGGCCAGATCAAAGGGCAACACCCCAAATTGATAATGTGATTCCCTGATGGCAAAATGAAGGAGGCACAGATGCCCGTCACAAATGGGGGTGTGCAGGTAATCATTCTTGATGTCCGCTCCGAATCAGGTGCTGTGGCCACCACTCCATAGAGCAGCAGTTCCTGCACAGCACCGTACAGGGCTTATGGACGACTTGGTGAAAGCCGCAAATTACAGGGAAAAATCTGTCCAGCAGAAGGGAATGAAACTATCTTGTATCCTGATAGAATGATCTTGTGAACCCACTTGCCAGGAATGAGGGAGGTCCAGAGGCCCAGAAACCTGTGAAGACGCTCCAACACCCTGGAAGCGAGTGAGGGCAAACCTTCATGCTGAGGGACACTTATCCGCGGGCTTGGAGGACTTCTGGGGCCAGGGACGGTACATGCCACCTGTGGGGGGCTTAAAGGGCCTGGAGCCCTTTGCTGCAGAGCCGGAGGAGCGAAAAATGTATTTATGTATCGCAAACGTTGGCACTGACTTCCGACGTGGTTCCTTCCCCTTCTTGGCCTGAGGGAGGAAGGTACTCTTGCCCCCAGTAAGGTTCTTGATGTCATCCAGGGTAGCGCCAAAAAGACAGTCGCCCAGAAAGGACAGGTCTGCCAGAGTAGGAGCTGCGTCACAATAGTACTTTAAGCCCTGGACCAACTGGTCCGCCAGCTCCACATATGCTTGGGGCAACTGACTAGATGTCAAGCCTTGTTGTAGAGTCAAGCCTTGGCCAATTCCATCAGTGTCTGGGCCGGAGCAAACGGCCTAAAGTGCCGACCCGGCAACGGGAGGAGAGAGACCCCCAGGAGCTTCCAAGGTGCCCACGTCTGCAATAACATGGCCACCAGCCACATGAAGCGCACCCCGATCCAAGCAGGCCTATAAACCATAATGGACACCCCCTTCCCTCCACAGCAGGACAAGGCCCCTCCAGCATCGGACCACACAGGGAAGGAGAGGGAGCCCGCACTACCAAGGTCCAGCCAGGAATGAGGTACCCGGGCTAAGCCTACACCCGGTCATATGTGTCCCCACAAGGCGTTTAACTTGCTGGCCACCCTGGTGCGTGGGCCATAGTCGCACTGACCGAACATGGAGCTGGCGGTCTGCTCGCGCTGGTCACACTGGGGTGACCATTGGATCTAGATTGTCCAACCCAACTGTTGATATAAGATCTCTGCAGGAATACACAAGTGCAGGAGAAGAAAGAAAAAAAAAAAAAAAAGTTGTGAGACCACAAGTCACAGCAAAATTTCACGTCCATACTCCTGTAACACTAGGCAGAAAAGATTGGAGACCTATAGCAAAGAGGGGGTTTTATACCAAGAGAGGACTTCCCATAGGAGGTGACAAGTCTATTACCTGCCTAGTGTCCTACTCCTGTTGGTGGGGCTATAAGACTCTGCTTTATTAAGGTTAAAGAAGAAGCCACTGTGTCCACCAATGAATGTAAGAGAAAGCTTTTTTCCTATTAGCCTCATGTAACACATTCCCAAGTTTCATATGGTCTGCAGCATATCCCCAGCAAAAAATCAAACATGTCCACTCTCT